AATTCTGCTTATAAATAAAGTTATAAGGATTTTTAATATTCTATATTTAACTCTATAATAATAGTTTAACAAAGTTAAATTATATCTTAAAATATATACTAACTCTATAAAATTAACTATTCCTAAAGAAGAAGCCTTAAAAGACTAGATACTTTTATTTATTAAATATAGACTTTATTCTCAGCTGCTATATATTTAGAATATAGCTACTATTCTTCTTTAAAAATATAACTTAGATTCTATAGTCTTAGTAGATAATAATTAGATATATAACTTTATTAAGTATATATTAGCTTTAAAAAGTTATTTTTCTTATAAATATAATATCTAGTATACTAAATATAAAGATCCTAAGCTCTTAAGTAACTAGTTTAACTGATTTAAAGCTATAAAGAATAAATATAGTATTCTTAATAAAGAAATCTAGAATTTTAATAAAACTAGCTTTATAATAAGAATAGTAGCTATAGTCTATATAATTATAAGATCTAATTATATTAATAAGCCATCTCTTATTCAGCTAGGGAATCAAGAATAGATAATCTTAATTAAGTATATTAAATACTATTAGTATAGTATTAAGACTATACTTGATTTTTAAGGATAAAGTCTATATTAAAATATAATTCTAAGATCTTATTCTATTTAACTAGTATATTAATTTATTACTAAATAGTTAGACTTCTAATAAGATTAGTTTATATTAGCTTTAAGAATACTTTATTTCTTTTATAAAGAATTAGTAAATTAGATAATATAGTCTCTTAATTCTTAATAGATATAATTCTTATTTAACTCTAGAATTTAATAATATATATAGCTAAAATAGTATTATTTCTATCTATATATCTCTATATTCTTTATATCTTTATCAACTGCTTAATATTACTTACTTTATACTATTAAAATAAGTATATTATAGCTTAGTAAAATAACTGATCTGCTAGGATATTTACTCTATAGATAAGATTAATTTCTTAGATATATATCTAGAAGTATATTCTCTTATCTTTAAAGAATTAACTATATATAATATCTTTAGAGCTTCAGGATTGGTTCTATTCTAGCTAGATAAGGTTCTTAGTAAGCTAATTATATAGCTCTATAAGTCTACTTTAACTAATAGTATCTCTACTATATTAAAAGTACTAAAAACACCTAAGAATATAAGACAATTAAAGAGGTATAAAAGTATAACTAAAAGACTTCTCTATATATATATAATTAGTCTATTATTATAGATAATAATAGTATTATCTTATATTATTAAGAGATGCAAAATCATCTTTAACTAAACTACTTTACTTAAGTAGAAAGTTAATAGTTTATAGACTAAATTAGAGAGATAGAATAATAATAGAAGAAGAGATCTTATTATTAAATAGCTAATCTTAATAGTCTTACTATGAAAGAAGTAAGAAATATATTTAATTAGATTAGTAAGACTAATTAGACTGGTAGAAGTTAGTCTATAGAATCAGCTGCACACAAGGAACAACCTTACTACTAGGCACCACCTCACTATAGTAAGTATAATATAGTTAAATATAAAAGAACAAGATGTCCAATATACTAAAACACGAATTAAACATATTATTTATTAATATAGAGGACTATAATAGCTTCATCTTTTTATAGAAGTATATTTTACTAGGCGTGGAAGCCGGCTTGCTTAGGCAGCCAGCTCACACAGAGATTATATTAGTCTATTAAGATAAAGTTATTTATCCTATGTAAATAATCTATAAACTCTGCTATATAATTAAGTCTATATTTAAGCTATTTATTATCTTTACTAATTATATATCTACTATTAGTATCTATACTTATAATACTATATCTTTATATACCACTATTATAATTAAGAAATTAAATTTATATCTTATCTATATCTTATAATATATATAGTAGTTTACTCTCTATATCTATTATAGATTAGATATCATAAATACTATAGTAGATACTCTATCTTATAATATTAATCTAGATAATTATATAGAAAAATATTTATTCTTAATATTAAAGACAGAATATTTATTAGTAAAGATACTAAGATATTTAATCTAATTAAAGTATTTATAATATATATATTTAAATATTTATTTACTATATTCTTATATATATCTAATAAGTTTAAGAACTAAGTAAGATAAGAATATATATTAGATTTTATATATTTAATATTCTAGATATTCTTTAAAATAATATTATAGTAGTAAATCCTATTATTCTCTCTTATATGAAATATAATAGTCTTCTATATATACTTAAATACAGTATATATTAAGATAATAAAGATAAAGATACTATATTAAGTAAGAAGCTATAACTATATCTATTATATAGTCTTATCTAAGATATCTTCTATATAGTATATAATAAATAATATTACTAAGAACTAGAGAAGTATCTTAATATCTTAGAAGAATTAATATTCTACTATTATTAATATCTTCTATATAACTATATACTTTCCTCTTTTAATTATTATCTATTATTATCTATATTAAGTTTCTAAATATAAGTTATATAGTAATTTATAGTCTATTATTTTATTCTTTATGTTATTTTACACTATTATTCCTAGTTTTATTACTGATTTTTCTATATATAATAGATTTAATTAGTTACTTATTCTAGTAAATAAATTTACTAAAAGACCAGAGTATATTCTAGATAAGACTAAACTAGAAGATACTTAAATAGAGAAGAGTAATTCTTATATATCTATAGATCTATAATCAGAATATATCTTATATATAGATCTCTAATTAAGACTAATACTTTATTACTAAGATATCTTATAATCTATTTAAGGGCTTAAAGTATTAATAGCTACTTATACTATATATTATTTTTAGATAAATAGTAGTTTAGAGTATATAATCCAGTTCCTAGAAGTTATACTATAGTATATTACTACCAAAGAGCTATTCTAGATTTTTTAATTACTAAATCTTAGTATATCTTTTAATAGATCTATCTATTCCTCTACTAACTATATACTATATAAAGTTATATATAGTATAAAGCTTAATTAGCTACTTAGTTTACTAAAGTTACCTATACTGATATAAATATATCAAGACTTTATATCTATATATCTTAATATTAAAGATACTATTGAATATACTATAGCCTATATAAAGTATAAGTATAATACTAGATATAAATCTATATAATATAATATAGATAATAAGATATATTTAAGATTATAAAAAGATTATTTTATATCTATATTATAAACTATGAATATTCTATATAAGCTAGAATATTAGCTCTCTAGTCCTTTTAATATTTTTAATATTGTTAAATATATTAGATACTATATATACGATAAGGTATTAGATATATTGAAAATTTATTTAGTTATATTAGTATTACAGCTTAAATCTATATCTTAAGAAGTTGATCTATTTAATTATCAGCTATCTAAACTACTTATAGTGAATAAAGCCAAAGACTAGTAGAAAGTAGAATATATTCTTAATAAATATATATATTAATATAGATATGGTTCTATATATACCAAGTACTTAGTCTATTAGCTCAGCTATAGTCTAGAATATAATTAATAAGTATATAAATATAATCTCAACTCACCTAATATTATCTATATCTTTAAAGTGGATATTAATTAACTATTTATCTTTTTATAGTTTCTATTATATCTATATTATCTTTATATATTTCTATCTATATATATATAGTATTAAGAATAATAATATATCTTTCTTTAGTAAAGATAACTATAACTACTATCTCTGTGGCTTGGTATATAGAGACAGGCCTCTGTATCTTTCTAGTATGTTAAGATCTCTGTTTCTTTCTATATTATCTGAATTAATACTACAAGGTATAATCCTTCGACCTCCCAGACTCTCAATAGAATAAGAAACTTCCTTATAATTACTTTTTATATATAGTAATTAATTATACTAATAGTCTAGTTAGCTATTTATATATTAGCTTTTTAATTTAATGTTCTTAGAAGCTTTATATTATATAGATACTAAGTTTAGAACTCTTCTATAAAGATATCTTATTCTATATAAAATAGGATTTTGACGAAATTAGCTAAGAATCTACTAGAGATTTACTAATTAATTAATATTATATTAACTTTAGAATCTCTATATTAGATAGAACTCTAGGTCTCTCTTTATTCTTAATAGTAGATTAATAGAATTATATTTATTAGATTAATATTATTATAATTATATCTATACAGATGTATATACTATTAAGTCTAATAATCATTTAGTCTTATTATTTTATAAAGGTTTAGAGATTCTAATAATTTAAAAGAAATTCAATAGTATATTATTATTATATACCATACGAAAATATCAATTTTTGGGATTTTGACTTTAAAGATTAATAACTTAATCAATTCTTAATGTGTTTTAAAACTTTTTGATGATTCAAAAATCTAACTATTAATTGGATTTTTGGGTCTATTTTTAGAATTCTCCATCCCAGTTTAGGAAAGTTATTCTGAAAAAATATGTTTTTTTTTTTAGAATTGGATACTATACTAATAGTTTATTCTTTCTCTTTGAAAAAAGAATATACTTTAGTTAAAATATATCTCTATATAGAAAAAATAAGCCCAGGCTCTAATAGTTATTCTCTGAATTTTACTGAATTTTTATCTAATTTATAACTATTTTTAATAGGGTAGATAGATCCACTTCTCTCCCGTGGTTATCTATATATACCATAAGCGCAGCTGTTCTACTTTTAGTCCTAAATCATATGATTTTAATACCCTATCCATACATAAACTATTCTATAAACCACTCTACTAATTATCCTGCCAACCCCCCTGCCAACCACCCTGCCAACCACCCTACCAACCACCCTGCCAACCATCCTATGAACAGCCCTGCGAACGGTCCTGCGAATAGCTTGCGAATAGCCCTGCTAACAGCCCTGCCAACGGCCCTACAAGCAAGTCTATAAGGAATAGCTCTGCCAACAGCCCTGCGAGCAAGCCTATGAAGAATAGCTCTGCCAACAGCCCTGCGAGCAAGCCTATGAGGAATAGCCCTGCCAACGGCCCTGCGAGCAAGCCTGCGAGGAAGCCTGCGAGGAACAGCCCTGCTAACAGCCCTATAAGCAAGCCTATGAAGAATAGCTCTGCCAACAGCCCTGTAAGCAAGCCTATAAGGAATAGCCCTGCCAACAGCCCTACGAGCAAGCCTGCCACCGGCCCTGTAAGGCAGCCCAGCCCACCCTTTAGTAATCCGAGCGAAGCGAGGATCACCAAGGCTTGTAATAACTTTTCAAAATATTAATATCAATATTTAGAGAAATAAATAATCATAAAAAACTCTTAGTCTAGAATTGAATAATAGATTTTAGTATTATTAAATATCTTTGATTAGAATATAATAGAGTAATATATTTTTTTTAATTATCTAGTTAAAATAATATTTCTACTATACTCTACTAAAAAGTATTTGTTTTTATTTAGATTTATTTCTAAGAATTAAAGTGTCTTAATAGAGATATAACTTTTAAAACTATAAAAAAACTTATAGAATAATATTATTTCTTTACTAGTTAAGATTATTTTTCTAGACTTTTTATTATTTTAAGTATCTCTTAAAAGAGAAATTAATAGTAAAGTAATTAAGAATTAATTCTTAATAAAATAGTCTTAGAAATTATAAAATTCTAAGACAACTTAGATCTTATAATATATAGTTAGAATAAATTATATATAGATAAATAGATATATATATCCTTAAAGATTATTAATAAAAGTAAAATAGAGCTTTCTAAAAGATTAGTTGTAATTAATAACTATATAGTATCTTATAAAAGACTATATAGTTCTTCTTAAATTAATAATACTAATAGAAATCTACTATATACTATATATAGATATTATAAGATAATTAATAGTAGTAATTAGTAGAGCTATAAGATAGACTATATCTAGATTAAACCATCTAATAAGTTAATAGCTAATAAGATTATTTTTAGTATATAAATTAAAATTTACTATTTATTTTTTACTAATTTCTTATTAGATCTATCTCTATTCTTTTAGAAATATTAATTTAATAGATAAAATTTATTATTATATATATAGTAATAAAGAATTTCTTTTCTCTTATTCTTTTTATTTTAAGAAAATTTTATAGATTAGATTTATTACTCTATTATAAAGATTTTAATTCTCTAAAGACTTTATTTAGATATTTTTTATAATAGAATAACTACTATTAGGATTAAGATTATCAGAATAATATACTATAGTAGTTATAGAAGTTATAAGATTATTAATAGTAAATCTATATCTTTCTAATATCTATAAGATACTAATTCCTCTGTAGAAGACTACTGATTCTTAAGGAATTAGTCTATTTTATAGATATAGATTATGTTTATTATTATTAGATAAATCCATAGTATTTAGTAGTTGATTTCTTATCTAGTTAATAGACTTTCTACTCTAATAAGTAGATTCTATTATATTTTAATTCTTTCTCTTTAACTATCTAAGAAAGATACTATTATATTAAGATAGAAAAGAACTAGAGATAGTAACTAAATTAATATAGAATTATTATTATATACTTTTTTTACTATTAAAGAGATTTAATAACTTAAAAACTATATATAGTAACTAGAGTAGACTAAAAGTCTATAATAAAAAATAATCTATCTTTAAGAAAATTATTTGTCTAATACAATCTTATTAAGATACTACTAATTATTCTCTAAATTAGATAAAAATAAAAAGAAAATTAAGTTTACTAATATTTCTTACTTCATATTAAACTTTAATCTTTAAAAGTATTAGAAATAGATTATTAATTTAGATTATATATTTTAAAAAGTCTCTAGAAAATATTTATTAGAAAAATATAAGATTATTATTATTATTAGTTATATAAATCTAGTATATAGATAGTGTCAGGCCGCGCAGCCTAACTGCGGCCTCAGGCTACAACCCGGGTCGCCGCGCAGCGACGGTGCGCGCACGTGACGCACACCCATTACTGGGGCCGCTGAGGGCAGCCGCAGCAGACCTCAGCGGTTAGTTCAATATATACGGTACCCCTACATTCCACGCAGTATATCACGTTCCCAACGCACCTCACAGATAGATATAGTACTAACATATTATTAATAAAACTTTAAAAGAAAAATAACTTTCTAAAAAATTATAATCTTAGTTTAAGAACTAGACTCTTATTTTAATTACAAATATTATAATACTTTAATCTGATATAATAGCTTAACTTAAATAAGTATACTAGTAATATAATTAAAATCTAAGAAAGTTCTATATCTATCTTAATATCTTAGAGTAGTATTTTTTATTAAATTAAAAGAGAGAGAATTCTATTATACTTTATTAAACTGGTTCTAGAACTAAATTAGTATATTTAGAAGTATATTTTCTATTTATCTAAACAATAGTATAGAATAGTAGCTATTACTACTTATTATTATAAACTCTAGAATAATAAAGAAAAGTTCTATTAGAAGAAATAGACTATATAATTAATTCTTAGATCTAAATATTATAAATAAGATTATTTTAACTAGGCTACTTAATCTAGATTATAGAGCTCAAGCTATATAAATTTGTTTATATACATATAATGTATAATTTTTATAGTCTATTATATAATTCTTAGATATCTTATTATAGAAAGAATCTAAATACTAGTAAATATTAGAAGATTAAAATTAATAGTATATGAATTATATTATATAATGTATTTCTTCTTTTATAGTTAAATAATTATATTGATATATAAGTCAACTAGAGTATTTAAGTACTTAAATATATTATTAAGTATATTTATAAAAATTTAAACTATACTATATTATATTTCTAGACTAGTAATAAGATAAACTAGTATCGTAAAAATTATTATATTAGTTTAATAGAGACTATTATATATCTTCTCTGCTTCTATATTTATGAGAACTATTAACTAACTATAATACTAATTATCTATCTTCTAGATTAGTAGATTATAATATTTCTTAAGATTATAGATACTTAGTAAATTATAGATTATCTATATTCTTTTTACAGTGTACTAATAGTCTTCTTTAACTAGAATATAGAAATAGTCTAATTAAATTCTAAATTTATTTATTATTAGTATATAGAAATATCTTAATACTTTATTTAGAATATAGAAAAGAATTTAAAACTATAGTAGCTATAATAATAGAAGTTTATAATTAATTAAATATATTACTATAGTTCTAATATAGAAGAATAGTTCTATTTATAGCATTTTCTAATTTCTAAGATAGATTCTATTAGCTTTAGGAATTTCTATACTATTAATAATATACTTTATTCTATATTCTAGATAGTCTATTAGAATCTAAATCTACTTAATAGTAATAAAAAGTAGTATCTAAAACTCTAGAAGATGATATCTAAGAGTTATTATAATATCTAAGTCTTCTTACAATTCTATAACTTTTATTAATAATTTATTAGAGACTATTTTTATATTATATTATTTCTTATCTTTCCATTTTATAAAGTAGTTAATAAATAGGAATCTTCATAAATTTATCTTAATATATATAAAAAGATTACTTTCTACTATTTAATTATTATCTTTTAATAAGTATCTTTCTTAACATATTCTAATTCTATAAAGTCTCAATATTTAGAAACTAATACTTCTAAAGAATAAATAAAAAGAATTCTATTCTAACTAAGTACTATAGAATATATTTTATCTAATTACTTTTTAATTATATAAGTTCTTCAATACTAAAGTAAATTATAGTACTCTAGATTAAAAGTTATCTACTATTATATACTTATTTAAATAATAGTAATAATATTTTAAAAGAATACTTCTTAAATTATTAAAGTCTTATTTAACTATTCTAACTTATGATTATCAATATATTAGACTAAAATTAACAGAAGATAAATCTAGTAATTTATATTTCTAATTTCTTTTAATTTTATTATTAAATATAAAATAGAAAAGTCTAATCTAGTAGATAAATTCTCTAGAAAATTTATAAAGATTTAAGTTAAATCTATTTTATAAGAGAAGCTTTTAACTCTAATTTGAGAATATTTTATAAATCCGAATAATATATATACTATACTTCAAGATAGATATTTGTATTACTATATATATATAATACTAGGAGTATAAATAGAAGAATAATTAGATAGCTTATTACTAAATATATAAGATAATATATTCTAATAGAGAAAAAAACTAAGTAAAATAAATAGATAAATAGATAGGTAGATAAATATATTAATATAGTAACTATTTAAGATATTTAAAAATATATATAAGATCTAGAATATTGATATTAAAATTTAAATCTATATACTTTAGAACCTCTTCCATACTACTAAATAAGATATAAAAAAACTAGAACATAATATTAACTATAATAAATAGTATGAGACTTTAGAATATACTTAACTTTCTAATAGTTATTATTATTTAAAAAGACTTTATCAATTATCTTAGATAGCTTAGATAGAGTATAATCAGAAAAAGTCTAAATTATTAGTATAATAGACTAATTTCAGCTGTATAATCAACAGAATATATTTTCTATAATTTAGAAAGATCTAGTCAATATATATTATAACTAATAACTTTAAGAATATAAAATAAATTAACATACTAAGATAAAAGATACTTCTTTATAATAGAGAATATAGTATATCTATAATGAAGATAAAGATATACTATATTATTTTAAGTAAAAGAGAGAGATTTATGATAATAGTTATATAAATACTTTATATATATAGTAGTAAACTGGAGAACTTTCTTAGTATTAAAATAAGAGAAAAAGTCTTAGACTTCTTCTAGATTAATATTTTGAATAGTATCTTGAATAGAATACTTTGTTAAGATATTTATATTATCTTTTATTTATAGTATATTTAAGTAAAATATCTTAAATATAAGAAGAAACAAGTATCATGATATATAGATATAAATAAGCAGAATAATTAGAAGTAATAGACTATCCTCAGACTTAGTATTGTCTAATAAAGGAACTGATATAGCTAGAATAGATATAGATATTATATCTAGAGGAGAAATATTGGAGACTATATAGTTAGGAATAGTCCAATATAGAATTACTTTTTAAAAATATTATAACTAATATAGTAAGATACTAAGTATAAAATAAAATACTATATCTTTTATAGCAGTGAAAGATAAAAGATTTATAGTAGAGATAAATAATAAGATTAATATCTATTAAAGTATATTCTTATATATTTCTATAGTAGAGTATGATTTTAACTATCTAGTTATATATTTACTCTAACTATTAGTCAATAAATGGATAATAGTAGAATAAAACTCTTTTATATTTAGATAAGAAAAGACATCTTTTTGAAAAGTACTTATAAAATAAGAATTATAATCTAAAATAAAATAGTATCGTATATTCTAATTACAAGACTTTATATACTTAATAAGTATAATATTCTATTACTTTATTTCCTAGAATAATTTATCTAGAATAAGTCTAACATATTTAGTAAATTTATTAACTATAATAGGTAAGACGTTATAGATATTACAACTAGCTAAGGGAAGAGATATCAAGATGTCTATAATAATAGTATAGAAAAAAGTAATGAGAATGATTGACTAGAGTAGACTATATAACTTGTAGTATTAAATATTATTATTTAAGTATACTAGATATCTCTAGATATATTTTTATAATTAATATCTTTCTTAGTATATAGAAAGAATATCTTACTTAAAAGTATACTTCTTATATTCTTAGTACTAATTATTATTATAGATAATTTTAAAAAGTTAATAGATAAATATATATAGAATATATAGCTATACTTTCTTAGATATAGAAATATTACTATCTATAGTATATTTAGAATAAGTAAAATATAGATTTAATTATTTAATTAAGATAGTATGAATATAGTCAACTGAGAAACTCTAATAGTAGATATATGATTAATATAGATAATTATATCTAATCTAAACATCTTAATTATATATCTAATCTTCTATAATATCTATATAAGATAAGATACTTCTAGCTTAGTTACTAGTAGTTCTTCTTAGTCCTAATAAGTATTCTAGATAGAAATATAATAGATAAAATAGTAGTGTATAGAGATATTTTAGATAATTTATTATAAATAAAATTAAGCTTTGAATAATAGACTATAACTTCTATACCTTTATAATTTATATTAATATTAATATAGAGGTATTTATTAGTCTAGAAATAAACTAGATATTTTATATCTATAAACTTATCTTATAAGAGATAAAATAACTATAGTTTTTAGATATAAAATTAATAATAGTAGTTTTTAATATATATTGTTATTTTTTATTCTTATTCTTATATAGTCTTAATAGCTATATCTTATATTCTTATAAGAGAGTGACTTTCTAAGTATAGTAATTTATATAGTAGTATAGTTAGCTAGCAAGTATACGAAAATACTCTAATTTTATAAGATGTATAAAGAATAATAAAACTTAAATAGCTTTAATCTTTAAATCTAGTATAGAGAGACTAAATATATTAATATACTAATTATAGATAGATATTCTCTGTAAGTCTTTTCTAATTTAAGCTTTAAATTGAAGTTTTTAAAATATATAAAAATAGTAGATAGTTACTTAAAATACTTATTAAATATTTTGAACTAGATGATTATATTATTAATATATATAGAAGTAAATATATAAAATTCTTATAATATAAGGTTTATATATCTTTATATAAAAGAAAACAAATTAATAAAGTCTATAATAACTATATAGAAGATCTCTTAATCTCTATATATAATAATAGTAAGATACTTTCTATTATCGTTTCTAATAAACTATTAATAAAAGTAGATAATAAGATTAAAGAGACTAATATAATAATATTCTTAAATTATTTATAATATATTTTCTTATATAGAAATAGTGTAAAGATTACATTTAGTTTTCTTATTAGTACTATAGAGGTCTATAATAATACATTCTTTAAATTAACTA